CTGTCTAACTTGTGTAGGAGCACCGGTGCGGCTGCCATACTCGTTTTGTATGATGGGGTCAAAGTTCATGGATAGGGGTAGGTTGTAACAGCTATTGAGGTATTCGTTACAGATTTTTGGATTGGGGATTAGGCCAAAGGTCACTTCAGATCGTTGTTCTTTCTTTTTTGCCTTTGTTCTTTTTTGCCTCCTTTTTTCCCCACCAGGAAGCATGGGACCAGAAGACAAGGTTTCTATCGTCTTTCCTGTTGCGTTTTCTTATATTAAAAATAATAGAAAAACCTTAGTTCGTTTCAATAGATCTCATCATAAATGAGGCACGCTCGGAACGGTTCGCAAATGAGATTGCTCCATCCATAAGTTCATACATTGCACCTTAGTACAGACATCATCGTTTGTTCAAAATACGGAAGACACTTAAAAGTAGAGATGTTGTCACGAGGAGACTCTTACTACACATACTTCAATGCTAATTGAACACAAGAACTCGATTTTGCTTGCACACAATAGTAGGCAACGGATCCCTGCTTATTCATCAGCCCAGCATCTCATCTCCCGTTTCATCATTTTTTTTTTGCTTTCTTCCTTTGCCTCCCTTCCTCTCCCTCTGCCTCTTCGGTCTCTGTTTTCCCTTCCTCTTCCTCTGTTAGGTTCTTTGTTGCCACGAAATACCTGATGTAGCCCTTCTCTGCAATTTTGCACTCGACCATCAAAGGTAGCGTGGTGGAGAGACCGATCTTCACTTGATCAAACAGGGTAGACACCTTGGTGCAGGACTTCATGTACCTCAGGTTCAAGGCCAATGAAACTGGCCCTCGCGCATGTGTAAGGGTAACATGCTGCATTGATACAAACATGACCCATTAACTAGTGCAGATACGCATAGACGGATCTATTCTTCAGTAGTTTCTTAAAATACTAGTTGAATGGCACAAGATACTAAAGATGTTACTCCATATGATAGAACCAATTGAAATTTATAGAATAAACAGATGTTAATTTGCACTGCAGAGTAGTTAACCACGTCACCAAGATTTTACAGTTAAAGGAGGAAATAATAAGCTAACTAAAAAACAAACATCTAATTCAACCCCATTTACCAATACCAATGTAATCAACCAAATGAAGAGCCATGTTCCCCTTTATGAAATATATGTAGCTTCTGCTCTAGACAAATTAACTTGCAAGTTATGCAGACTAAACATACTCCAAACACAGAAACCAACATTAACAAACAAAGTGAATTAGGAACTCAACACAGTATAGTGAGACAACGAAATTCTAAGGCACTATGTATGCATGTTCGGCTACTCTGGTGCCTATAACCTAGGTGAGGAACCAAGAATGCACACTTGCTAAGAATCTACCAACACATCACTGATATGGTTGTTCACTGCATTTCATGTTACAGTCACATACAGATATTCAGAGGAGGAGGATATCCATTCCAATTTTTGAGGGGCTAAGAGGGTCAAACTATTAAGTACCTTGTCAGTTTTGTTCAGCACATGGGAAATGTTCACGCACCGACGTTTTCCTTTAGTAGAGAAGCTGATGACCTCCTCATTCACCCTGATGACAACTACAGCTGGAGATGGAAATGGTTCAAGGTACATAACTAGAATCCTCCATGCGCAACAGTAACAGTTAGCCTTATAAATCACCAGGTAAATCTATGTACCATCGTCGCCGATGACGCTGAGGGACTTGCAGTTCAACATAAACTGCGCAGAGGGCATGCAGAAAATGGCCTGGTACTCCGACTCCATATCGTGCCATTCCGAGATTTTGAGGCGATGGCTTGGGGCGTCCACATACACAAGCTGCAAATCCATATCCGTAGTTTTAGCCTCGTCTGTTCATTTCCACAAACACAAAATCAGCACAGGGTCAGGGCGAAGAGCAGTTATCGCAAAAGACGTGCGGGCACTTACCGGGCGACTCGAATGTTAGGGTAATGTCTTCGAAGTTTTGGTCGGTGACCTTGATGGTGATGATGTCACCATCGTTGGAGGCGCGGAGCAAATCGACCATGTCGGCGATTGCGATGCCCATGGAGCAGTCTTCGTCGCAGCGGTAGGACCGGAAGACCTCGGAGGGGAAGAAGAGCGAGAGGAAGACGACGTGTTCGGTGTCCAGGGCCTGGAGCGAGAAGCCCTCGCTGGAGCAGTCGATGTTGGCCACATTGACCAGGTCGAGGATCGCCTCCAGGACACCCTGTAAGGTGCTTCCCTTCACCATCTTCAGCTCAAACATGGTGGCTTGGACGGCCCGGCGGCGGCGTAGGAGAAGATGGCGGCGTTGGGAAGAGGGGCGGGAGAGGACGAGAAACCCTAGATCTGGACGGGTGCGGGATGGAGAGCGGTTGGAGGGGACGGAGGAAGGGGAACCGGATATTAACAGGGAGCCATAGGCTCGCGGTGTTTGCAGGCGCCCGTTACAGGCCATTTCGCAAACTGGCGCCTACAGTCCACAGCGAGATGGGCCGGCCCATTTAGCGTTTTGCTACGTCTCTTCATAAAGTGCAAAAAATAGAGAGCTGCGCCGAATCGGACCCAGGACCTACACGTTCACAGCGCACCGTGCTAACCAGCACGATATGCACGATAACTTCTTGCGTCCTTCTTATTATTTCAGTTCGCATTTTCTTTCTTTTTTTTCTTTTCCTTTTTCTGTTTTTCTGTTTCTTTTTGTTTTTATTTTTTTTATCTTAAATGCGTGATTGTAAACCGATGAAATTTTTCTTCACAATCAACGGACATTTTTTCAAAAATCCATGAACTGTTTTTTATTTTTGTGAACTTTCCTAAAAAAATTCAAGAACTTGTTTTTCAAATTTGATGAACTTTAAAAAAAATCATGAACTTTTTTCAATGTTGATGAACTATTTTCAAGTTTTGTGAACCTGTCTATAAAATTGATGAACTCTTTTCAGTTTTGATGGACTTTTTTTAAATTTGATGAACTTTACAAAACCAATGAACTTTTTTTTTGAAAATTGATGAACTTTTTTTCAAGTTTGTGAACTTTTCTTGAAAATTGATGAACTAATTTCGAAAACCCATGAACTTTTTCAAATTTTCGATGAACTTTTTGTTTGAAAATTGATGAACTTTTTTTCAAGTTTATGAACTTTTTGTTTGAAACTTGATGAACTTTTTTTCAAGTTTGTGAACTTTTCTTGAAAACTGATGAACTTTGTTCGAAATCTATGAACCTTTTCAAATTCACGATTATTTCGTCAAATAATTCAAAAATATTAATTGGTACAGTTTTGTGCAATAAAATAGCAACCCAACTTTGTTATTATATAATTTGCGCTGCTATCTATTGCTGGTATCAAGTAGTTCGAGTGGTAGCAGAACTCTTACGCTAGTGGAACTGCACGAGTTCGAAACCTGTCAATAATAGCATTTATTTTACTTTAAAAAAATAGCATTTATTTTTGTGATTTTTTAAACTCTATGATTTTTCGATTTTGTACACGTTTGTTGGGCCGGCCCAACTCGGCGGTGTAGTGCGCCAGGGAGGACTTCTGGCGCCTGTGGTGCCCAATAGGAGGGGAGCTCCTATACGGCGCTGCAGGCGCCTGTTCGCTCCTGGCGCCTGCGGCGCCCCGAGCTGGGCCGGCCCACGAACAAGCAGCAGCAGCAAAAAATCATAGGAAAAATGTTTGTTGTTTTGGGGATTCGAACTCGAGCCGCTGGAACCTTCACGCGCTTCGCTAACCACTACGGCAACCTCATAAAACTTACAAATGGTACTGCGTAATATTTAAGTACAATTACAGCCGCGCTGGTCCCAGATTAAAAAAAGTTCACGAAATTGTTTCAAAAAGTACTTGTTCAGATATTAAAAAAAACTCACGAAAATTGAAAAAAGTTCACTAGTTCAAGAAAAAGTTTATAAATTTGAAAAGGTCCACTAATTTCAGAAAAGTTAGCGAATTTAAAAAAGTTCACGAGTTTGAAAAAAGTTTACGGGTCGAAAAAGTTCACGAAATTCAATATAGTTCAAGAAAATTGAAAAAAGTTCATATATTTTCATAAAAGTTCACGAGTTTGAAAAAAGTTCACAGATTGAAAAAGTTCACAAAATTCAATATAGTTCAAGAAAATTGAAAAAAAGTTCATCAATTTTCATAAAAGTTCACGAATTTTGAAAAAAGTTCATTGCTTTAGATAAAAAGTTCATCAGATTTTGAAAAGAGTTCATTGATTTCGATAAAAGTTCATCGAATTAGAAAAGAGTTCATCGAATTTGAAAATAATTTCAATGATTTTGAAAAAAGTTCGTCGAATTGAAAAGAAATGTTCCTATAAATCTGCTGAATATTTCTCACATTATTTAAAAAATAAAAAGCAAAAAGAAAAAGAAAAATGACAGGAAAAGAACCGAAAAAGGAAAAGAAAAGGAAGAGGAAAGAACAAACAAGAAAGAATATCTACGATTTCACAGAGGCGAAGCTGGTCGGTTGGTTGTTGCGTGTTCGATGGAACCACAGCTTCCCGAGTTCGAATCCTGCAGCCCGCATATAAGTCATGATTTTTTGTCTCTTTAACACAGAGAACTGAAAACTACTTGGGTCGGCCCAGTGCGAGGCGCTGCAGGCGCCCGTTTGCAAAATACACATTAACGGGCGCCTGCAGCGCCAAATAGCAAATGCCCAATAGGAGCTCCCTAGTCTCGCGGCGGCGTTGGCAAAAAAAATTTGGGCCTTCCTATCAAGGACGGAGGATTAAACATAGACTAACTAGTAGAAGGCCTGTGAGTTGCCACGGGCTTTTAGCTTTTTCCTGATTGTACGACATTGCCTCGGGACCTTATTGATGGATTCTTTCTAAACATCCACACAATCCATCTCTATCGTTCTTATACTCTGCAAAAGTAAAGAGAAGTACACCTTTTGTATTGTCATGTGCAACATATATATATATACAAGTAATAACAATTATCTATATGCATCTCATTGTGTAAAACTCGATGAGTTTTGAGTCTACTCGATCGTAGGTACGTCCATGACTTTGTCAATCAACATTTTTTATGCCATATATTTTTTGTCTCTAACCTATAAAAGTGAACATATAAACATATATTAAAAAATATAAAAGATAAAGTGTCATCTCACCCAACCATTGCTTGGCATCTTTTCTAAACTTTATCAGATCTATGAAAAAGTCCTCACATACTCCGAGAGATGATGGTGTATTGTATATCTGATTGGAAAATGAGACGGTTATCACTACCTCGGAAGATGATGGCGTATTGAATTTCTTATTTGCGATTAATGAAAGATGCATGTTGTTTTATGGCAAGTTTATCTCTCCTCATTCTTCAACCTCAACAAATATAATGTTTTTATGCCCATAAGAAACATAAAGAGAAACACTCATTCATTAAACTTCTCCCAATTAATTGTGGTATACCCACTTGTTTCTACCAAATAATAATGTGGGCATACAAATTCCAGTAACATAACGGTGTGCTGATATATAGAGTAAAAAAGGATATAAAACGACAGTAGTTAAATAAACATTCTCTCATGACAGTCATGCCACCCTGAGAGAACCTTCCTCTCTGTCGCATGCCTCCGCTCTCAATCTAGCGCATGACTTTGACTTCCCAGCAAACTTGCATTTGGAAATGGTAGTGAAGTTACAAGTCTTGAATTATTCGTCGCTGACCATGCTATATGATGCTTAAATGCATGTGCATTGCCATGGAATAAACAAAACTACAGACCCAAATGTATGTCATTCACGATGGCGTAAGGTTCCATTTACATAGGGACACATACCATTATCTACTTTGTTTTTATCTGTGACAATCATCATGTCTCCTTACAAACCAACCAAGGCAACCCTTCCAACCCTTGACTTCCTCACTTCTCACGCTTGCTCTACCATCATTTTAGCTTCAAAACTCTTATCATTTCGTGAAATATGATACTGTGTTGTATCTCTGATTTTAAAATGAAATGTGCCTCATGTTGGGGAACGTTGCAGAAAATAAAAATTTTCCTACGGCTTCACCAAGACACATCTATGAGTTCATCTAAGCAACGAGTATTCAGATTGCATCTACATACCTTTTGTAGATCGCGAGCGGAAGCGTTCACTAGAACGTGGATGATGGAGTCGTACTCGCCGTGATCCAAATCACCGATGATCGAGTGCCAAACGGACGGCACCTCCGCGTTCAACACACATACGGAGCGAATGACGTCTCCTCCTTCTTGATCCAGCAAGGGGGAAGGAGAGGTTGAGGAAGATGGCTCCACTAGCAGCACGACGGTGTGGTGTTGGTGGAGAAACAGCACTCCGGCAGGGCTTCGCCAAGCACGTGACGGAGAAGGAGAGGTGTAGCAGGGGAGAGGGAGGCGCCAGGGAGCAAAAGCTGCGGCTGCCCCCTCCCTCCCCCCTTTATATAGGCCCCTGGGGGGGCCTGGAGATCCAATCTCCAAGGGGGGCGGCGGCCAAGGGTGGAGGAGTGCCCCCCAAGGCAAGTGGGGCGCCCCCCCACCCTAGGGTTTCAACCCTAGGCGCAGGGGGTGGGCCTAGGGGGACGCACCAGCCCACTAAGGGCTGGTTCCCCTCCCCACTTCAGCCCATGGGGCCCTCCGGGATGGGTGGCCCCACCCGGTGGACCCCCGGGACACTTTCGATGGTCCCGGTACAATACCGGGTGACCCCAAAACTTTCCCGATGGCCGAAATAGCACTTCCTATATATAATTCTTTACCTCCGGACCATTCCGAAACTCCTCGTGACGTCCAGGATCTCATCCGGGACTCCGAACAACATTCGGTTTGCTGCATACTCATATTCATACAACCCTAGCATCACCAAACCTTAAGTGTGTAGACCCTACGGGTTCGGGAGACACGTAGACATGACCGAGACGGCTCTCGGGCAATAACCAACAGCGGGATCTGGATACCCATGTTGGCTCCCACATGCTCCTTGATGATCTCATCGGATGAACCACGATGTCGAGGATTCAAGCAACCCCGTATGCAATTCCCTTTGTCAAGCGGTACGTTACTTGCCCGAGACTCGATCGTCGGTATCCCAATACCTCATTTAGTCTCATTACCGGCAAGTCACTTTACTCGTACCGTAATGCATGATCCCGTGACCAGACACTTGGTCACATTGAGCTCATTGTGATGATGCATTACTGAGTGGGCCCGGTGATACCTCTCCGTCATACGTAGTGACAAATCCCAGTCTCGATCCGTGTCAACCCAACAGACA